ATAGCGGCAAGCGTCAATGCGTCCTGAGCTCCCCTATGAACTGTACATCATTTAAGCGCCAATTATGCGCCGTTTTGAGCCTCAATTAATACCTGCTGGGACGTGTCCTAATGTCAATCCGAATTTGTGCTTCTTAAATCTACTCTACTATTTTGTCCATAAAGTTAACCGCAAGCGTTAGATCAAGACTAATAACTATTAACCCTGCATTCGGCCGTGAAACATCTGAAATTGCCAATCGGCAATTTTGCTCATGGTATAATAAAAAACAACTCGTACAAAGAACAACCAGCATTTTATCGAGTTTGTTCACCCAAAGTCAAGCAGACAAACCAGATCTCGTTAATTTTGATAAAGCCACAGGTGAGTGTCTCATGGAAATACATTAGTTAACACGTAGTGTAAGATGAAAGCTCACCTCGTCGTATACGCTTTGGTGAGTGTTCTTCTGATAAACTGTGAAGATGCAATGGAGAAGGTGAAGCGGACAATTAATAATTACAAGAGGACCGTGAAGGTGGACACCCTGTATAACGATCCGGGACACGGTAAGACGCCCAGTAGGTAAAATTGCGCTTTACGATAATGATAACAGGGCCAAATGTCTACGATTACATAGTGGTCGGGTCTGGATCGGCGGGTGCAGTCGTCGCCAGCCGATTGTCGGAGGACGCGAGGGTGAAGGTTCTGCTTTTGGAATCGGGGGGTGAGCCGATTTTTCATTCGGAGAAGCCGATGTTGGCAAGCCTGCAGTTGGTGACCAGGCAGAACTGGAACTATCTCATGGAGAAACAGGGGAATTTTTGCTTAGGTGCGTGCTTCCTCTGATGGTGAACCAAGTGCATGTTGGGTTTCAGGTCTGACGGACGAGCTGATGGCGTGGCCTCGCGGAAGAGTACTCGGTGGCACGACCGTTATCAACTTCATGATACACATCCGTGGCAACAAGGAGGATTACAATCGGTGGGCTCGCATGGGCAACCCGGGCTGGTCGTACGACGAGGTCCTCCCGTACTTTCTGAGGTCGGAGGATTCCACCGTTAGCGTCCAGGACGTAGAGTTCAGGCACCAGGGTGGGTTGCTCAACGTAGCGGACGTCCCTTACAGAACAGAATCGGCACATACATTCATCAGGGGTTGCAAAGAAGCAGGGTACTCCTATGTGGATTACAACGGAAGGAGCCAACTAGGCGTCTCTTACGTGCAAGCCAATCTCCGAGGAGGTCGACGGTGTAGTGCGGAAAAGGCCTTCATTCGTCCATCTCGAGGTAGGCCCAATCTGCACATTCGATTGAGAAGTCACGTGACCAAGGTGCTAATCGATCCTCTCACGAAAACGGCGTACGGTGTCGAGTACCTCCACCGGAAGAAGAGGTACGCCGCCAATGCGAGCGTTGAAGTGATATTGAGCGCAGGCGCCTTTCACTCGCCCCAAATCCTCATGCTCTCCGGTGTAGGACCTCGAGATCATTTAGCTCACCTACACATACCACTGGTAATGGACCTCCCAGTTGGACAGAAGCTGTACGATCACGTCGCCTTCTTGGGACTAGTCTTCACAGTGACTAAACCCATCGTGAGTAACTTCGCAGAGACTTTTTCGCCCGAGAGCATCTTCAAGTTCATCCTCTTCGGTCAAGGTCCCCTCACGAGCATTGGTGGAGTGGAGGCCTTGGCCTACTTCAACACCAACACCACAAAGCACCCCCAAGGTCTTCCAGACATGGAGCTCATCTTCATAAGCGGTGGTCTTAACAGCGACTACGGTACCTTCTACAAGACCCAATCTCGGGTAACCGACAGAGTGTACGACGCACTTTGGTTACCGCTACACGACAAGTACGCGTTCAGCATCCTACCGATGGGCCTCCACCCCAAGTCGCACGGTTACATGAGGCTCAGATCGAGGAATCCGCTCGATCCGCCTCTCTTCCACGGAAATTTCTTCACCGACCCCGACGGTCACGACATGAAAACCTTCATCGCGGCGATCCGCGAGAGCCAGCGCATCACGAAGACGCCCGCCTTCCAAACGTACGGCGCGCGGCAGGTGGAAACCCCGGTGCCCGGATGCGAGGCTCACCCGTTCGATAACGACCCCTACTGGGAGTGCGCGGTACGGCATATCACGACGACGGTTCACCATCAGATTCACACGTGCAAAATGGGACCGGCCAGCGATCCCGAGGCGGTCGTCGACGCCAGGCTGCGCGTCCACGGGGTGCGCCGACTGAGAGTGATCGACACGAGCGTCATCCCCACGACGATGTCGGCGCACGTGAGTGCCGTCGGGTACATGATCGGGGAGAAGGGAGCAGACTTAATTAAGGGAGATTTCGATGCTTTGTCGCCTAGACCGTTGTAAACACAATAAATTATTTCCTATAAACTCTGCTTTTTTGAGGTTTTAGAGTTTCTTGAGCTCGTGTCATCTAAGCCAATTATGCGCCATTTTGCACCTCCCAAACATCAATTCAGCCTGGAACGTGTGCATAAATTCGCGTAAATCTTTTTTAAGTGCCCTATTAGGGCAAGTCTGTGCGTTTTGAACTCCCCCCATGAACTGTAGGTTATTTTAGCGCCAATTATGCGCCGTTTTTTGCCTCAAAAAAGTTCCCAAAGGTCCATACAGCCCAGTACGTATGCACAAATTCGCGTAAATCTTTATTAAGTGCCATATTAGGGCAAGTCTGTGCGTTTTGAACTCCCCCCATGAACTGTAGGTTATTTTAGCGCCAATTATGCGCCGTTTTTTGCCTCAAAAAAGTTCCCAAAGGTCAATACAGCCCAGTACGTATGCACACATTAGCGTAAATATTTGTTAAGTGCCATATTAGGGCAAGTCTGTGCGTGTTGAACTCCCCCCATGAACTGTAGGTTATTTTAGCGCCAATTATGCGCCGTTTTTTGCCTCAAAAAAGTTCCCAAAGGTCAATACAACCCAGTACGTATGCACAAATTCGCGTAAATCTTTATTAAGTGCCATATTAGGGCAAGTCTGTGCGTTTTGAACTCCCCCATGAACTGGAGGTTATTTTAGCGCCAATTATGCGCCGTTTTGCACCTCAAAAAAGTTCCCAAAGGTCCATACAGCCCAGTACGTATGCACAAATTCGCGTAAATCTGTTAAGTGCCATATTAGGGCAAGTCTGTGCGTTTTGAACTCCCCCCATGAACTGGAGGTTGTTTTAGCGCCAATTATGCGCCGTTTTTTGCCTCAAAAAAGTTCCCAAAGGTCAATACAGCCTACTACGTATGCACAAATTGGCGTAAATCTTTAAGTGCCATATTAGGGCAAGTCTGTGCGTTTTGAACTCCCCCCGTGAACTGTAGGTTATTTTAGCGCCAATTATGCGCCGTTTTGTACCTCAAAAAAGTTCCCAGAGGGCAATACAGCCCAGTACGTATGCACAAATTCGCGTAAATCTTCATTAAGCGCCATATTAGGGAAGTCTGTGCGTGTTGAACTCCCCCCATGAACTGTAGGTTATTTTAGCGCCAATTATGCGCCGTTTTTTGCCTCAAAAAAGTTCCCAGAGGGCAATACAGCCCAGTACGTATGCACAAATTCGCGTAAATCTTTATTAAGTGCCATATTAGGGCAAGTCTGTGCGTTTTGAACTCCCCCATGAACTGTAGGTTATTTTAGCGCCAATTATGCGCCGTTTTTTGCCTCAAAAAGTTCCCAAAGGTCAATACAGCCCAGTACGTATGCACAAATTCGCGTAAATCTTTATTAAGTGCCATATTAGGGCAAGTCTGTGCGTTTTGAACTCCCCCATGAACTGGAGGTTATTTTAGCGCCAATTATGCGCCGTTTTTTGCCTCAAAAAGTTCCCAAAGGTCAATACAGCCCAGTACGTATGCACAAATTCGCGTAAATCTTTATTAAGTGCCATAATAGGGCAAGTCTGTGCGTTTTGAACTCCCCCCATGGACTGTAGGTTATTTTAGCGCCAATTATGCGCCGTTTTGTACCTCAAAAATTTTCCCAAAGGTCAATACAGCCCAGTACGTATGCACAAACCCGCGTAAATCTTCATTAAGTGCCATATTAGAGAGAGTCTGTGCGTTTTGAACTCCCCCCATGGACTGTATGTTATTTTAGCGCCAATTATGCGCCGTTTTGTACCTCAAAAATTTTCCCAAAGGTCAATACAGCCCAGTACGTATGCACAAACCCGCGTAAATCTTCATTAAGTGTCATATTAGAGAGAGTCTGTGCGTTTTGAACTCCCCCCGTGAACTGTAGGTTATTTTAGTGCCAATTATGCGCCGTTTTGTACCTCAAAAAAGTTCCCAAAGGTCAATACAGCCCAGTACGTATGCACAAATTCGCGTAAATCTTTATTAAGTGCCATATTAGGGCAAGTCTGTGCGTTTTGAACTCCCCTAATGAACTGTAGGTTATTTTAGCGCCAATTACGTGCCGTTTTGTACCTAAAAAAAGTTCCCAAAGGTCAATACAGCCCAGTACGTATGCACAAATTCGCATAAATGTTGATTAAGTGCCATATTAGAGCAAGTCTGTGCGTTTTGAACTCCCCTCATCAATTGTAGGTTATTTTAGCGCCAATTATGCGCCGTATAGTATGTAGGAGAGTCGGGAACATGGGCGTGAGAGTTGGAAAGTAAAGTGGGTAAGTAAGTACGAAAGGTGGTTGGATTTGTCCCCTTTAGTGCCCATTGATCGCCTTTTACGATCTCTAGAGCGAGAGTGGGCCTATTCTATCCCCGAACCCACAGGGGTATGCGTCTCAGTCAATAAGGGATGTGTCTTCAATTTTCCAATATCGTAATGTCCCGAATTCGGGCAAGTACTGCAGCTTAAACTTGCTCAGGAAACAATGCCTGCCAATTATGGAGATGCAAACGCTGTTACATAAAAAGACACTTGCAATTATCAATTCCAGTCGGGTATACATTTTATTACTTTTACCTTTGCCATTACGATTTATTCGCCGAGTGCATTTTCTCATTATTTTGCACATGAACTGTTAACCACAAACGTTAGGTCGAGAAGAGATGAGCGACGACGTGTTGTAGCTTTTTTCTCGAATGCATCACGTGCCGTGACTGTTAACGCTGCGTTCGACCGTGAAACGTCTAAAATTGGCAACCGACGAAATTTTTGTGGCCATCGTATGGTAAAAAAACAACTCGTACACAGAACGAACCCCGCAATGTCATCGAGTTTGTTCACCGAAAGTAAAGCAGACAAACCACTCGTTAATTTGTGAGTGTCTCAAGAGAATACATTAGTCTGCACGTTGTGTAAGATGAAAGCCCACCTCGTCGTATACGCTCTGGTGAATCTTGTTCTGATAAACTGTGAAGATGCGATGGAGAAGGTGAAGCGCACGATTAGTGATTACAAGAGGTACGTGAAGGAAGACACCCTGTATAACGAACCGGGACACGGTAAGACGCCCTGTAGGTAAAATTGCGCTGTACGAAAGATTTCAGCCCCAAATGTCTACGATTACATAGTGGTCGGGTCGGGTTCGGCGGGTGCAGTCGTCGCCAGCAGACTGTCGGAGGACCCGAGGGTGAAGGTTCTTCTTTTGGAATCGGGGGGTGAGCCGATTTTTCATTCGGAGAAGCCGATGTTGGCAAGCGTGCAGTTGTTGACCAGGCAGAACTGGAACTATCTCATGGAGAAGCAGGCGAATTTTTGCCTAGGTTTGTGCTTCTTCTGATGGTGGATCCAGTGCATGTTGCGTTTCAGGTCTGACGGACGAGCTGATGGCGTGGCCCCGCGGAAGAGTACTCGGCGGCACGACCGTTATCAACTTCATGATACACATCCGTGGCAACAAGGAGGATTACAATAGGTGGGCTCGCATGGGCAATCCGGGCTGGTCGTACGACGAGGTCCTCCCGTACTTTCTTAAGTCGGAGGATTCCACCGTTAGCGTCCAGGACGTAGAGTTCAGGCACCAGGGTGGGTTGCTCAACGTAGCGGACGTTCCTTACAGAACAGAATCGGCACATACGTTCATCAGGGGTTGCAAAGAAGCAGGGTACCCCTATGTGGATTACAACGGAAGGAGCCAACTGGGCGTCTCTTACGTGCAAGCCAATCTCCGAGGAGGTCGGCGGTGTAGTGCGGAAAAGGCCTTCATTCGCCCATCTCGAGGTAGGCCCAATCTGCACATTCGATTGAGAAGCCACGTGATCAAGGTGCTGATCGATCCTCTCACGAAAACGGCGTACGGTGTCGAGTACCTCCACCGGAAGAAGAGGTACGCCGTCAATGCGAGCGTTGAAGTGATATTGAGCGCAGGCGCCTTCCATTCGCCCCAAATCCTCATGCTCTCCGGTGTAGGCCCTCGAGATCATTTAGCTCACCTACACATACCGCTGGTAAAGGATCTCCCAGTTGGACAAAAGTTGTACGATCACGTCACCTTCTTGGGACTAGTCTTCACCGTGACTAAGCCGATCGTGAGTTTCTTCGAAGAGACTTTCTCGCTCGAGAGCTTCTTCAACTTCTTTCTCTTCGGCCAAGGTCCCCTCACGAGCATCGGCGGAGTGGAGGCCTTGGCCTACTTCAACACCAACACCACAACGCACCCCCCAGGTCTTCCAGACATGGAGCTCATCTTCATAGGCGGTGGCCTTCACAGCGACTACTCTATTTTCTTCAAGAACCAATTTCGGGTATCCGACAGAGTGTACGACGCACTTTGGTTACCGCTACACGACAAGTACGCGTTCAGCATCCTACCGATGGGCCTCCACCCCAAGTCGCACGGTTACATGAGGCTCAGATCGAGGAATCCGCTCGATCCGCCTCTCTTCCACGGAAATTTCTTCACCGACCCCGACGGTCACGACATAAAAACCTTCATCGCGGCAATTCGCGAGATCCAGCGCATCACGAAGACGCCCGCCTTCCAAACGTACGGCGCGCGGCAGGTGGAAACTCCGGTGCCCGGATGCGAGGCTCACACGTTCGACAGCGACCCCTACTGGGAGTGCGCGGTACGGCATATCACGGCGACGCTACACCACCAGATTCACACGTGCAAAATGGGACCGGCGAGCGATCCCGAGGCGGTCGTCGACGCCAGGCTGCGCGTCCACGGGGTGCGCCGGCTGAGAGTGATCGACACGAGCGTCATCCCAACGACGATGTCGGCGCACGTCAGCGCCGTCGGGTTCATGATCGGGGAGAAGGGAGCAGACTTAATTAAGGGAGATTACGACGATTTGTCGCCTAGAACGTTGTAAACACAATAAATTATTTCCATTTTTTTTGAGTTTCTTGTGCTCGTTTGACCTTAACTTCCCGAGAACTGTTCCTGGATATGAGATGCGCAATTTCATAGACGTCATCTAAGCGCCTATTATGCGCCATTTTGCCCCGAAAAGTCACCACAGCCGGGGATGAGTGCACAAATTCGCTTAAATCGTAATAAAGAGGCATATTGAAGCAAGTGCCGGTGCGCCCTTAACTCCCATATGAACTGTACGTCATTTAAGCGCCAAGTATGCGCTCTTTTACACCTCGGGAAAGCCCCGAAAAGTCACTACAGCCGGGGATGAGTGCACAAATACGCTTAAATCGTAATAAAGAGGCATATTGAAGCAAGTGCCGGTGCGCCCTTAACTCCCATATGAACTGTACATCATTTAAGCGCCAAGTATGCGCGGTTTTACACCTCGAGAAAGCCCCGAAAAGTCAATATAGCCGGAGATGAGTGCACAAATACGCTTAAATCGTAATAAAGAGGCATATTGAAGCAAGTGCCGGTGCGCCCTTAACTCCCATATGAACTGTACGTCATTTAAGCGCCAAGTATGCGCGGTTTTACACCTCGGGAAAGCCCCGAAAAGTCACTACAGCCGGGGATAAGTGCACAAATACGCTTAAATCGTAATAAAGAGGCATATTGAAGCAAGTGCCGGTGCGCCCTTAACTCCCATATGAACTGTACGTCATTTAAGCGCCAAGTATGCGCGGTTTTACACCTCGGGAAAGCCCCGAAAAGTCACTACAGCCGGGGATGAGTGCACAAATACGCTTAAATCGTAAATAAGAGCGTCCTGAACTCTCCTACGACTCCTTTCTTGTTCTGTGCTCCTGATACCAACACTTTTATAGTCGTTTAAAGTAACTAGGAGACCATAAAATATGAGTAAATATTCTGTTATTGAGCTTCTGTAAGGTTGAGGTTCTGCTATCAGGCGGACGTTCGGCAGGTGGACCTCTTTCACGTCCTGTGCTCTTGATACTAGCCGTTGTGGCACCGTTTAGGGTAGCTAGTAGTAGGAGACCATAAAATATGAGCAAAAATCCATTTTTGTGCTTGCGACCATCTTGTAAAGTTTTGTTACCAGGCGAATATGAATGAGTATTTGCAACGAGGCTATTGACAATAAACTGAACCAATATAGACAACGAACGACCAGGTCACTTCCGGTTCGAAACCGTTCGCGAGTTGCCATGTACAGATACGGACGAACGGACGGACAGAAAGATCAAAATCATGAACTCGCTTTTTGTCGCTCATCGATACGATAACATGCTATGGCGTTAGTGACTACCTGCTCAAAGATGACGAAAGGGAAAACTTTCGTTTGCTAACGGAGAAAATGGATTATGGGGGGATTATGAGGCGGATGCTTATCCTGATGTAACAAATTTCCACCGAACCGCGACCTAACGAACCGATCTCCAGGCGCCAATTAAAGAGATACTGAAGAAGAGAGAAAATGTAGAAAAAAAGTGCCGCCATCAATGCTGGAACTGCGAGGAACTGGGGCACTTGAAGAGCGCATGCAAAAAGTTCCAGGGACCCAGACCATCTACTGATTCTTCGGAAAATAAAGCAGGATCCCTGAAGAAAGATTCGAAGAAGATCCAGCTATTTTTGATTTAGATGAAAAGGTCAAAGGACGATACAAAATAGTTAGACACAAAATAAATACTTTAGGAGGAAAATGTGATTGCGGAATCAAATTGATCTTGGGCTTCTCCCGAGGCGGCTCCGCCCGAGGCCCACGATAATTAATTAACTAAGTATCGTAGGCCTCGCTCCGCCACATTACGTGTGGATTATCGTCAGCTCAACAACGCGGACACCTATCCGTTACCGAAAATTGAGTACACTTTAGATACTCTTGATGGATCATGAATATTCACAACGTTAGATTTAAAAAGTGGTTATTGACAAGTCCAGGAGATTAGAAAAAAACAGCCTTTACCCTTGGCTCAGGATTATGGAAATTCCCCGTCATGCCATTCGGATTGGGCAATGCACCCGCCACTTTTCAGCGACTTATCGAATCGAAACAATTAAGTATCGTCCAGTAAATTATGAATTAATCCAAAGAAAAACTTTGCGCTATTAATTGTTCCGCGATATTTTAGTGACAATACGTCAAATCTTTGGAGACTATAGCAGTAGGAAAAGCTTTTTGAGGGTAAATCCCATTTAATCTACAAGAAATATATTTTAAAAGCTTTGTTCAATTGTTATAATTCGGGTACCAAACTAGGTCGCATTATTCTATTTTAGGTCTTACTAAACCGTAGTTCAATTGGAAGAAAACGTGGTTAATTCTCAAGCAATAATATAATTGAATAATGATAATGCTGGAAGCTCATTTCTAAACATAAATTTTCGAATACGCCGCCATTAATAATAGTAGTTGGTGTAATCCTTGACTGTTGAGTAACTATGATTGTGATCGTAGGTACGGAGAACAAGCTGCTAAATTTCGGCTTGCGCCAATTGGGGTTCGTCGGATTAAATCCGTATCAGCAAACCGTGATTGACAAAATAAAGGCGGCTGTTGCTATCTCCATGTCCGTTTTGGGATTTGTGTTGGGCGCAGTTGAATTTATGCACCAACCAAACGTTCTCCAAGCCTTTCAGGATATCGGTCAAGCAATTCTGGCGACCTATCAGGTTAGCGCAATCATCACTGACGGTCAATATCAATGTTTCATCCAGACAGTATTTAAGGCTCTTACGTTGGTATTCGTCCGACAAAGACTGCGGGTACTTATAGAGAAGGTCTCCCAATTCAGAAATGCCACAGCGTTGGGAGGTGAACGCCATGGCTTTGAAGAAATTCACGACAAACTGGATAAAGGTTTCAAGGTGTATTTTCTGACCTTTGTTGCAACTGCGCTAACAATGAATACGGCGGCGTTGGCGGCGAGCAATAAGGTCTTGGCGTTTCCAATGTACGATTTTGCAAATTTAAAGGAGTCGCCTCAATACGAAATTGCATTCTCTTGGGGATGCGCCATGACCATTGTTGTACTGTTTGTGGTGGGAGGATGGGACATAATGTTTTACTCGCTAGTCGCCTACATTTATTGCGAATTCGAAGTCGTAAAGCGAGAATTTCAAAGTTTGAAGATAAACGACGATGACGTTCGGGAGAAGTTTGCCGCCGCTCTGCGCCGTCATCAACTCGTTTTGAGGCAAGTTTTCGTTTCATACTACTCGAGCCCCAAAATACCGAGTTCTTATTTGCAGCTGTATATCTGATCTCAATGCCATTAGTTCCACAATATTTTTGCACCAAATTGTAACAGCCACGTCAGCAACCTGCGCGTCGCTGTACATTCTGGTGTCAGGCGGGTGAGTTGTGTCTTAAAATTCGTAACATCTATAATCGGCCATCTTCAGATTGGACGTTCCCCGGATTATAGCACAGCTGACCTTCACATCTGGTGGAATATGCCAACTATTTTGTCCGAGTTTCGCCGGCAATCTACTAACAGATCAGGTGAGCCGATATTAGCCTGGTCGATATTCCACTTAACTCCTCGTTCCAGAGTCAATCGGTCGCCATAACAATTTTACAAGCGCCATTTTGGCTAGAGGCTCCGATTGAAATGAAGAAAGAAATAGTGATGATCGCACGGAGGGCTCAAAGATATGAAGCTCTCTCAATGGGCGGTATGCGTAACGTCGATTTGCCACTCTTTGCAGACGTAACTATTAGTCGTTTTTTTGGCAAACAAAACTAACCTTCCAATCTTTAGATAATGAAGTTCTGCGTTTCTTTTATTAACGCCGTTCTGGCACTTGAATCAAGAAAATAATTTCACAATTTCTTGGTTAGTAACATAAGGCAGATTTTGAAGATAATTATTAGCACTTTGTTGACAGTTCAATGTATTCACGCACATTGTAAAAGAATTAAAATTTTGCATCAATAAAATCTATTCCCACCTTTATGAGCACATTAAAAAAAACACCTTACGGAGTCTGGTAAGTTCAGAGACTATTAGTTATGGAAGAACCCTCCTAACACTTGAAGCGATTTGATAGACGGCTCCACCTATTGATGGAATTTAACTACGCAATTTTGCCGCGCAGAACTGACGACGCCTTGATTTTTGGGCGTCCATTTTCTTCGTAAACCGCATCGAAGTACACGTCGATTTTAAAAAACAGCTGAAAGCGTAGAACGCATGGATTTCTAATTGCCATCTTCCGAATATATATTGATCTTTGGCGATTGTATTCATAATTTGGGAGTTCTTGCCATCTTTGCCATCTCGGTTTTGTTTGAAACGCGAATGACCACCACTTCCTTCTGAAGGGGTGGGCCAATTAAGGGTCGTACCTGGTATAGAATCAGATTACGAGTAAAGTGTGGTCCCTCAGGCATTAATCAAGTAATTGTATACAGATCCCTGCGGCTTGGGAACTATTTTTAGGTTTGGATGCGAGAACTGGGCTCACTTCTTGTCGTCAACGTCTAACTTTATTCAAGGTAAAAATTGCCTTATATGTTTTACTCGCACTTAGCCCTATACGTGCGAAGTTTTGCCCGGAATATCAAGTTGTTTGTGGACAGTTGTTTTGATTCAGTAATTGGTTCATTATGTAGGTCTTTTGGTCAATTGACTTCAGTCTTATTACTGCCCTCGTATCTTCTCACGGGCAGAGTTAAAAATTAATTTTATCTCGTATTCTAATTAAAGGTTTCAACGAAAGGAACCGTTTTCCACCAAATACTGCCTTTCTTTCTGTCCTCTTGTCAAAGTACGGGGGTGGAGGGGGAGGGGAGGGGAAGTGGAACTAGTTTTATCCTTCATGGTACTCTAATGAAACGTCCCAACGAAAGGAATTAATTTCTACCAACCACAGCCATCCTCCTCGATCTCTTATCGTGATCGGGTATATTCCCTTATACCTCAAAAACGGATTGTCGGAAGTCTGCAAGGAATATATCCATTGGTGATGTCAAAACAAAAGCTATTTCGGTTAAAAAAAATGCGCTTTATCTGCACATGAGTTGTGCACAATTTATACTTGTTTTGAATTCTACTCCATATTTATCAATTTTAGTTTATTACAAATTGTATTACATCCTCTTTCTAGAATTTGTTTACTGAGCGCAGGGTATTGGAATTGATATCCCCATTAGAGAGCATGAGAAACTCCCTTCGCACTGAAATTTCGCTTCTAACAATCCAGAAAATGATCTCATACATAATGCCCTAATTAAAATAACTGAATATGATACAAACCCCTCACATCTAGTGTCCAAACATCCGGAATCCATTAATAGAGCAATGCTCTACAGAAATTAAACGACGCAGAAAAATCACAAACATCTCGGCAAACGAGATTTCGATAACTTCTTTTCCTATAACCCTGAGTATTCCCATGATGATTTTTTTATGACCCCTCGGTAACACTTTCCCCTATAAAACGTTTATCCCTGAGGACTCATATTAGTCTTTGGGCAGGTGATCAGATCCTCCTCTCCTGCGAAATATCATAGAGAACGGAATACCGGGGGTCTGGAATAACCCCCCCCCCCAAATGCGATGGCCACTTCCGGAAAATCACAAACATCTCGGTAAACGAGGTCTACATGGCTTCTTTTTCTACAACTCTTGAGTAAATGCGATGGCCACTTCCGGAAAATCTCAAACATCTCGGTAAACGAGGTCTCCATGGCTTCTTTTTCTACAACTCTTGAGTATTCTCATGATGATTTTCTGGAAATGGTAATAAAGCCAAGTTGGGATGCTGGGGGGGGGGGGGGGGGGGGGGGTTATGACCCCTCGGTAACACTTTCCCCTATAAAACGTTTATCCCTGAGGACTCATATTAGTCTTTGGGCAGATGATCAGATCCTCTTCCCCTGCGAAATATCATAGAGAACGGAATACGCGGGGTGTGGAATAACCCCCCCCCCCCTCAAATGTGATGGACACTTCCGGAAAATCACAAACATCTCGGTAAACGAGGTCTCCATGGCTTCTTTTCCTATAACTCTTCAGTGTTCTCATGATGATTTTCTGGAAATGGTAATAAAGCCAACGTGGTATGCTGGGGGATATTCCATACCACCCCAGACCCCTCGGTAACACTTTGCCCTACAAAACGTTTATCCCTGAGGACTCATATTAGTCTTTGGGCAGATGATCAGATCCTCTTCCCCTGCGAAATATCATAGAGAACGGAATACGCGGGGT